TAAGTCCTAGGTTCAACACCAAATACCACTAATAATAATAGTAAAATAATAATGTTCAAGAATACCAAACTGCCTCCCAATAATAGCTACCTCATCCTCATGCCCCAGAATCTCTCCTGGTAAATGGGAGCAGAATGAAAAGGCATATCCCCTGAGCCAGAGCGTGGAGAATGTGTGTCTGTGAGTCTGTCCGTGTCTGTGTGTCTGTGTGTACAGGTGAGGAGTGTATGTGGAGGCCAGAGATTGACATCCTGCATCTTCCTTAATTACTCTTGTTTTTTTTTTTATTATTATTTTTAATTTGATACAGACTTTCTCACTGAACCTAGAGCTCACCAGCTTGACTGATGTGGCTAGCCATCAAACGCAGGGATTCACCCAGGTCCATCTCTCTAGCACTGGGAACACAGGCACAGACCACTGCCTTGGCTTTTACATGGGTACAAAGGATCCAGACTTAGGTCTTCACGTTTGTCAAGCACTACTAATTTACCCAGATCTCCAGTCCCTAACCAGGAAATAAGTCCACAGTCTCTCCCCGCCCCTCTCTCTTTCTCTCTTTCTCTCTGTGTATCTGTCAGTCTGTCTGTCTCTGTCTCCTATCTGTCTCTCTGACTCCTTCTTTCTCTCTCTGTCTCTCTCTCTCTGTGTGTGTATCTGTCTCTCTGACTCTTTCTCTCTGTGTCTCTGTCTCTCTCTCTCTCTCTCTCTCTCTCTCTCTCACACACACACACACACACACCAGTACCTATACTGCATAGCTGACCATGACCAGAGAACTGGGGCACACAGTGCTGTGTACAGGGTAGTTGGGATGACTCAGGATTCCCAGAATTCCTGAGGTTGCAGAAACTACCTTAGGCATCCTTCCCCAAGCCAGCTGAAAAGAGAAGCAGGAACACAAAGCCCTGCTTCCACATAGCAGACCTTCAGCCCTGCTGTTTACTCCTCCACACAAAGCCCTGTTTATGCGACAGATGGTAGTTCATGCTTCTCTCTCTCTCTCCCTCTCTCTCTCCCTCCCTCCCCCTCTTCACTTGTTCCCTCTGTTGTTTTGTCCTCTCCAGTTTTCCCTTCTCCCCCCTTCTCTGCTTCTCAGCAGTCTTCCCAAATTCACTAAAGGCCAGGGGAGCAGGGGAAGGCAGGCAGAATGTAAGATGCTAGAGGGTCGTTCTGTCCAAGCAGACGGCCTGGATACACCGCCAGCCAGTCCAACACAATGTATTTTGGAGACAATAACAAGGCAATGACACTGCAGGGGCCACAGCAAACGTGAAAGGGCCCACTAACACATCTGTGGCAGGCGTGTGTTACAAAGGCCCGGCCGGCACACACACGTGCTCCTTCCAGGCCTGGCACTCCCAAGGAGCACACATACATAACTCTTACTGAATATTTACTGCCATCAGTGTCTCTATACATCAACTGGGGAGAGAAGTGTGGAAGACTGGATGTGCAAAAGACTTTCCTCTCGTACCAGGCTGGCCCTGCCCCTTTCAGATCCAAGCGTGACACCTGATGTTCCCTAGCCTTGGCTTTTCCTGTAAATGAAGTCATTAGATATGTTTGTAACTTGTAGTTTTCTCTGGCTCAATTATCAGTGGTGTGAGAGCAATTTCACCAAGTCCCAAAACAGGAACCTCCCCGACACTCACATATCTACTCTGGGAGAAAGGAAGGTATACCACAGCAAAATGATAGCAGGGAAATAGAACCATCCATAAAAAGGTCAGAGGAGGGATCTTTTAAAAAGGGCTAATGTAATAGGAGTAAAAGGCAAAATTTATCCCCTGCCTGGATGATGAAAAATTAAGCAAAAGAAGTGTGCTACCCATCTACCTGGTCACCTGCAATCCTTCTCTGTTCCCAGGCATTCTCCAAGCATGCACACTGGCCCTTTGAGAAGTCTGAATGGGGGGTCTGGTTCCGCACAAAAATAATAACTGTCCCATGTGACCACCTACACACACACACACACATACACACACACACAAAATAAAGAGTAAAGACCCCCAATCATCACCACACCCCACCACCACCATCCCCCATCCCCACCCTCCACCACTGATGAAAAAGATCAGGCCTCTATTTGAGCCCAAATGGCTACATCTGCAAATGATTAACTCCGGGGTTTATTACCAATTAGGACTATAAATCTCTGCTTACTTTGGTTCCTGCAAAGCTGACTTCTCTGAGAGGAGGGGGGCTGGAAGGAACAGGGAGAAAGTCAATTGAGACAAAGAGGAAGAAATCCAAGCTTAAAGAGACACACTTCAGATTCAAGAGCCAGAGGAGGAAAGCTGGTCAGGCTTGCCTCCTGAGCAAAGAGCTGAGCAGATGGCCCAGGGTCAGTGGAGACAAAGGGGCTAATGCCACTGACAAGGAGGGTCTGACCTCAGTGGCCAAACCATGGCTTCATCTTACCACCAAGTTGCCCAGTAATCACTCTGACTCTCAGGGGTGGAGCTTGGTTTTGTTTGACGTGTGTGTGTGTGTGTGCGTGTGTGTGTGTGATGCACACATGGGTATTTGAGTGTTCACACCTCTGCAAGGGCATTTAGGAACCAAAGGAAGACATCTGGTGTCCTCACCTATATCACTCTCCGCCTTGTTCCCATGGGTGAGGGTCTCTGATTGAACTCCAAGGCAGGCTTGTGAGCAGAAAACCCAAGCGAACAATCCTCCTGCCCCACCCCAACCGCCCCCCCCAGCTCTGCATGGGTACAGGCACTTGCGTGGCCACATCAGCAATTTATGTTTTTTTAATGTGAGTGCTAAGATGCCAAGTTGGGTCTTCGTGCTTGTGTAACTCTTGCCACAGAGCAAGCCCAGCTTCTCACAGTTTACAGAATAGGAGGCTGCAAGGGTAAATCATAGGCCCAACGCTACCTCGGTAAGAATGATGGGGACTGGGTTTCCACCCAGATTTCACATTCTTATAATAGTGCCTGTGACTGGTGACACTATAATTCTTGCCTTTCCAGACCCTGAATTTTAAGGGCTTTTCAAGTTGAAAAAGGAGGGTAATGTGCTATTCAAAAATACAGAAAAGGAACATTAGTCATATAAAGGCTGTGTTTTGCCAGGGAGGTAAGTTTCCTTTGTTTGGAATGAAGTCAACACAGAGATGATACACTGGACTTATGCTCATTGGGAGCTCTGGTTCATTCATTTAACAAACATTAAGGGCCAGGTTTTGGGCAAGACTATAAACTAGAACCACCCAGTGCAGACAATATCAGGACAAATGTCATAAGGGCCATAACAATGGCATTTACCACTAGGCAATCTGGGAGTCCACGCAGAAAAAAAGAAAAAGAAAAGAAAAAAAGAGCTTAAGGGTCAGGAATAGTTTGTTACACTGGTGAGTGTGGACCAGCAAGATAAATTGGAATATTATATGTGTTGCTGAGAGTCAGAGCCTTACATGGAGTCTGGGGACAATAAAATGTTCTGAGAAGGTTGAAGGCAAATCCATCACCAGAATAAGCATCTATTCCAGTAAGGCCAAAGTGTTGTCCTTTCCACAGAAGAAGTGATTCAGTGTACTCAACCTGCCACCACATCACTGGCTTGTCACCCTGGGGAATGGTGCCGTATCTGGGGCTCAATGTTGGTTTCTGCTGTTGGCACATCTGGCACTCAGAAGCAGCTGTAGCCAGGTCAGCCTTGGTGGGTGGAAGTCCATGCTGTTGAGCCCATGTCTAACCCCCATCTCTGCCACCATGGTCACTCTGTTCATGGGCCACTGGGCAATGACAGGGATGGCTGGGGAAAGCAACTGACTGTCCACAGGATGGGTCATTTTATCTACTGAAGTCATCTTTTGATGAGCATTTATATGGACACAAGTATCTTCACATCCTTTGCCTGTTTCCGGAGAACTCTCCACATACTTTTTCCCCAGAGGTCTTTCTCACCAATTTTCCCACCATGCTCTTTTCCAAACCCCTGACCATCCAGCCAGTCCATCAGCTACAGCCCATGAATAGCAATCTTGACCCATAGACAGCATGAAGAACAAGTTACTGGACCTGGCTTGGGCTTTTGAAACATCAAAGCCTACCTCCAGGGACACACTTCCTCCAACAAGATCACAACCCTCATCTTTCAAATGGAGCCACTCCCTGGTGACTGAGCACTCAAATCCAAGAGCCTGTTTCTCTAACCAGGACAGAAGATGCAAATTCCTGCATTAGCTCTGTGAGAATAATGATGGGTGCCCACTGGGAAGATGAAGGTTGAGGTGACTGAAAGGCCGGTGCTACCTAAGCAGGCAGCTAGCTCTCACCTTCAGCTAAAACCTGACCCCAGGAGTGCCAGGACAGTGTTGTCAGAACCTGAAGCTGTAAACACAGGCTGCCTTAAGCAAGCTCTCCTAAGCTTATTCTAGGTTTGCTGTTGATTTGTTTTCATGTACTGAGATAGGGTCTTACCATTCTGGCCTTGAACTCCCATCCTCCTCCTTCAGCACCCCCAAGTGCTAGGATTAGACACATGCCCCTTCACACCCTGAGAGCTGCCAATTCTGTGCAGGGGGACATGGAGGCTGTGCTTGTTGGTGGGAGGTGTGAGCTTGTACCCATGCACATAGAAGCCAGAGGTCAGCCTCTGGGTCTTTCCTTAGAAGTCATGCTCCTGAGATTTGAGACAGAGTCTTTCACTGGGACCAGGAACTCACCAGTTTAGCTGGGGTAGCTGGCCAGTGAGATGCAGAACTCTGCTTAATCTGCCTGATTCCACCTCCCTAGAGCTTTGGTTATTAGCTAGGCCACTGCAAGGGAGCTTTTTAGGTAGTTTCTGGGGCTGAAACTTTCTCTCTCTTTCTCTCTCTCTCTCTCTCTCTCTCTCTCTCTCTCTCTCTCTCTCTCTTAGAAATCCCAAATTTCAAAGGGCATTTAATTCTTTTTCAATTGCCTATAGTCAAGTGTGATCTCCCCAGTAGCCCCCAGGGGTCCTACGGCAACAGCTTATTCCTTTGTGCTCTCCCCTCCCAACAGGTATGCTCATTTATTTTGGGTATGGCATCTGGAACAGCACCCTGGAAATCAGTGCCCGAGAGCAGGCCCTGCACCAAAGCACATACCAGCGCTACGACGTCGATGACCCCTTTTCCGTGGAGGAGGGGTTCTCCTACGCCACAGAGGGCGAGAGCCAGGAGGACTGGGGTGGGCCAGCTGAGGACAAAGGCTTCTATTACCAACAGATGTCAGATGCCAAGGCAAGCACCCGGACGAGTAGCAAAGCGAAAAGTAAAAGCAAACACAAACAGAACTCAGAGGCCCTGATTGCAAATGATGAGTTAGATTGCTCTCCTGAGTAAGGCTAAACGTGAGGAGCCTAGAGAGAGAGGGTAGGGTGGGTTCTCCGTAAATCAGCCTGTGTGCTAGAAGGTGGAAACTTCCTCCGACTTTCATTTCACAAACCCAGCCTTTCCCACAGTCCATTCCCAGGCATAATCTGTCATTTGCTATTTTTGCTCTTCAGGTGAGTTCTGTTGAAGGGTGTTACCTGGAGCTCCTAACTGCTCCCTTGTCAAAAATCAAAAGACTACATGAAATTCTGTGTCAGTGAGCTGTCCCCACAGATGGCAGCAAATGCCTTGAGGGATGGAGCCTTGTGCTTCTTACCCTAGGAAACTTTCTCCAGCCCTGCTGAGGCTACAGACCCTCTGGAGAGGAGCCACAAAGGTGGCTGTGGGGTGAAGCATCTTCGGATCCCCCAGAGCAAAGCTGGGAGCTACTCTCCCAGGGTTGCAGGTCAGGCTGTTTCAGTACTTTCTCAGTCAGCAACACTGTGTCCTTATATCTCACCTCCCCAAAACTATTCACGGAGGAGACCCGGGCTTCTCTTTACTCACCAAAGTTCTTACAGTTTCCAAACTATAATTTTTGGATCCGGAAAAGATAGAACATGCTGAGACCATATCCCCATGAAGCAACCATGCAGGCACAATAGTATAGTGAGAAGTTCCCTCAAAGCTTCACTTAATGCTCAAGAGAAAATAAAATAAAGGCTTAGGTAACCATCTCTTGAGTAGAGGTCAGAAGGCAGTGGCAGAAATGAACTATCTGTCATGCATCCCCTTACAGGAGACTCTAAGCTCTTGCCAATACCGGCGAAAGGGCAGAGGTGGAGCGTGATTCCATGCCTCTGATATGCCTGGAAGAAATAGGCTATTTGTTTTTTAATCCGATAAAAATCTTTGCAAGCAGAAGCAACCCAGCCACTGAGATCACATTGCAAATCCTACTTCATATTTCTAAAACTCTAGAATCTGTGGGTTTCTTCTTTAACTAGGTGACTGCCTGGTGGGATGCTGCTGCTTTGGAAACAGGTGTGGAAAGCCAGGTACTTGGGCCATCTAGCTCAGAGCCATGGCCTTCCCACTGGGACCTCAGTCCTCTGGGCTGGTTCACTTTCAGAGCCTTCTTCCTGTCAGTTCCCAAAGCGCTTCACTGAGGCCAGAGAAACGGCTGCCTGGTGAGGTTTAAGTATTGGCCACCAAAGGGTTTCTTAAAAGAATTTTCTCCAAAACAGGATAGATGAGTTTACAGGAAAAACACACTGCTTCAATAACATGTGTACACGTGTGTATGAAAACAGCTTTCCTCATACTAAGATCGATGTGAGAATTTTTCGGAAGTGGAGCTAAAGAGCGATTCCTTGCCCTCTTCTCCTCAATTTATCATCCGCCAAAAATTTTCATGAATACCAACTAACATTCACATCTTTTATTCCTTATGAAGCTCATGTCTTCTTGGCATGTACTACAGTCACAGAGAAGGCATGCTTCCTGTTGAGCTGGCTAGCTGAAATATACCAGTGGCTAGGTGGAGGCCATGAAGAAATGCAACTCTGGAGCCCATCACAGGTGCAAGGCCTCCACATAACAGATAAAGATCAACTGAAACTATTTTTTTTAAGTTAATGCTTTTAGATAAGTTACATACCATGCTTTTAGCCAACGTATGCCATTGCATTCAAATAACTGCATTTTTAGATCTTGTTCATCATTCCCTATTAATTATGTAGAACCCTGACTTCCAATATTCATTGTATCATTTTTATGTAGTGTCTGACAAAGCTGTTTCCTCTTGTCTAAACTTACCCATCACAGCAGTGCCTGGCCTGCAACAAACTACCCTGGAGAATCACTGTAAAATAATTGTGAGTTGTGTTTGTTAAAACTAAGTTTTAAACTGGTGTAGGATGCAAGAAATCTGCTTCATTTAAGCATGTATAAGCTGGGTCCACTTCTAGACAGATGAGGTGATGTTCTCTTCCTTAGATGAATTTAGGAGAAATATGGATTCAAAGTGACAGATGTTAGCATGGATGGAAAGCTCGGTCTTACTGATGCTGTTTAGGTATTGAAGTAGCAATGGTCTGGCAGCAGGTGTGTGCTACTTATTTCTGCAGCATAAGAAAGCATGGGCATTTTCAGTTAATGCCGTTAGTGTTGATTCTGTGCAGATCAATGAATTATTCTCATTTCAGAGGCCATTCTTCTCAGTTAGTAGCTTTAGGTGTTTTTAGGCTTTGCGCTCTTCCTTTTTTTCTAAAATGGTTGGGGCTATCTTCTTAACTATCTTGGTTTTGTTTTTTGGGTTTTTTTTTAATATATATATATGGTTTGGAAAGTTTTCTCAGGTACACAACATGTTTTCACCATGTTTCATTGCTCCTATGAAAGAGTCCGGGTTTCACAAGGAAGTTTTCAAATACCACCATATCTGAACATTGTATTTGTAAGACTGCATTAAAAGTAGGATTACTTTATAAATAATTATCTTAGGGAAGCTCTTCTGGTGGTGGTTTGGTGTGTGTGGGATATGTCATTTTGGAGCCAATAATTTAGCATTATTAAATTGTATTCTATTTATTTATCAATACTCTGCATCATTTCAGAAAGATTGAAGGCAGCTATTAAAACATATGTGCTCCAAAACAAAAAGGAAGAATCCCATGAAAACAGAAGGAGAAAGGGTACCACAAAGCCAGGAGTATGTGGAGTGCACAAGTACAGAACTCTCAAGGGCTGTGCGAAGTTTTCCAGTGAGAACAACTTAGAAAGCATAGACTTGTCAGTGATGACAGCCAGTACTGCTACATGATAAAAAATAAATAAATAAGTCTTCTCCTGCCCCCCCCCAATGAGGTCAGAGTGTTAAAATATCACAGGCCACCCACTGAAGTCCACAGAAAAGCTCCAATGCTAGATTACAGTAGCTACATGTGCCCAATGGATATTAGTTACCAAGAAACATCTGCTGGGAGGTGGTGGCGCATGCCTTTAATCCCAGAGAGGAAGAGGCAGAATGATCTCTGAGTTTGAGGCCAGCCTGCTCTATAGAGCAAGTTCCAGGACAGCCAGGGGTACACAGATAAACCCTGTCTAAAAAAAGGGAAGGAAGGAAGGAAGGAAGGAAGGAAGGAAGGAAGGAAGGAAGGAAGGAAGGAAAAAAGGAAGACATATTCCCCACCATATAGCCTGGTTGAGTATGAAAAAAATTAATGAATAAATGAATGGATGGATGGAATAGAGAAAAATAAACTACCTACTCAGTAGTTATTCATAGAGTGCCTATTGTTTGCTGTCGCATATTCTAATGCCATAATAAGTGAAAGGTTCACTTCTTGAGAAATAAGATCTAGAGGGCTGGCCAGACAGCTCAGAGGGTCAACGGCTTGCCTAGCAAACCTGGAACCTGCATAAACATGCCTGTTCTCTGACCCCCACATGGGTGTTCTGGAATGCATGACATGCAGGCACACACACACACACACACACACACACACACACACACACACACACAATACACATGCATGTAGTAATCATAAACATTTTTTTAATTGAATATATTTAAAATAGTATCAAAGATGGCAGATGGAATGGAGATAATAATGTGCTTTGGGGATTAAATGTGGAAAACACTTCCATACATTGAAAAGATCAAAGACTACAGTATACACATGCAGCCTGCAGAAATAGCAGTCTTAACAAGGTAGAAATGGTGGAGAGGCGAGCCACCCAGAAGAGGGCTAAGATGCAGACTGCAAGTGAGCATTGCCCTCTGAGTGTTTTGTTCGTTGCCTTCTTCCAGGTTTCGCTGTAGCTATCTATAATTCATGTGTGATTCACATGTGGCACAAAAAGAATAATACCAGGAGAGTTAGGGGGGATCACACAGACTCCAGTGACAAGCCCATGGTTCTCCATGAGTGGGCATGGGGGTGAGTCAGGCAAGGTTGGACTTGAGAAAAACTGGGCAATAGCACCATTGCTCAGGCAAGGAGTGAACAGGTTACATACATACACATAGCACTGTAACAAAAAAAAAATTCCATAATCAGAGCAATGCACTGTACTTTCTTCCTTATCAGATTTTACATTACCTGAGGAAACATGTAATCTTCTAACATGCAGACATGCAACATAATTTTTCAACCACTTTGCAGTTTCCAATAATTCCTATCAATGACCAAATTCACTACTTCTTGTATCAATCTAATCTGATTAGTAAAACCTCTGCTCCTGACTTGACCTAAATTGAGCTCTAGGCTGGTTTAGACTATAGAGAAGAGCTGTATGTTGAAATTATACAAAAAAATCTGGTTCTGCTTCTTAATAAGACAAAGTCCTGTGCCTTCGTGCTGGTCGTAGTGCTACAAATGCAGCATTCTTAGAGATATCTGCTCCACTGAAATGGTTGAGAAATTTGACACCCTTTGAATCTTGCTTGCTGGAAATTGCATTAGGGGATCCCTTTCCAAAATATATGGAGCCATAAATAAAATTTTCATCTCCCTGAGTGTCCACCTGAGAGACTAGGGAAAATTAATGTCTCATTTGCCACTGGGCTTTTACTAGGAGCCTGAGAGGTCCCTGAGACTCAGCCACAGATTGAGTCTCATGTTAGAACGTTCTGCGATATAGAGTCAAAAGTCAGGAAATACACTCAAGCCAGAGCTGGATCAGTTCCGGAGTCCTGGGGGGGCAGTGGTCCACTCTTGGGCTATAGCCTCCGCATAGGGAGTGGGACAGACATAGCTTCCATTTCCCATGGAGCGGAATAAGGAGGAAAGCAAGGAAAAAGTGCCCCGCAATTATGATGGGACTTCTCTCCAATCTCAAGTGTGTTTCAAGACTTGTTAAGACAGGCGTTTCCAAGCCATTTCTATGAAGCCTCTGTCAGGCCTGACCCCGAGTACCTCTTTAATTCTCATTATTCATTTATCTTCAGAGAGGCCCTTTGGAGACCCTAAGACCATCAGTTAATTGTCAGTGGCCAGACCATGTAAGAGTCCATAGTTTCAGTCAACATCATTTCAGGCTAGAAAC